GTACGCGATGACCGGAAGCGAAAGGCGGAAAAGACAGGAAATCAATGGGACGATGGATCTGATTATGAGGGTGTAACAAAGATATATGTATGAGGTGGTCGTGAAGGCATTCAGTTCATCAAGTTTGAGTATGTCAACGCTGGAACTACGATTGTTGGACCAATTCATGGTGTCTATGGTCGTGGTTTCACACAGACGGTAAGTATGTTTACTGTAACGACCCGGTTCTCACAAACCAGGCCCGTTTGGAAAATTCAATCCCAACTAAGACGGTTTAAGCCCATTTCCTATTTCTTGATATTTTCTTTTTCCTTCGAGAGATAATTAATTCCTGGTTTAGATAAAAATTATATTTTTAATGTGATATTAATGAACCTTTTCCTAAATGAATTGTGAATATTCTTATTCATAATTATCTTTTCCTTTTTTGTGGTTATCTTTACTTTTTACCCAAGTCTCCCATTGGGTATAAATAGAGAGCCCTTCCCATTCTTTTATTTCATTCTAAACTTTCCAGAGAACAGAGAAACCCTAGAACTCTCTTCTCTCTTTTTCCGGCGCCGTAGTACTCTCTCTCCGCCGTCTCTCTCTCCTCTTTCTTTCTCTCTCATCGCCGCATCCTCTCTCTTTTCACCATGTCCCGCCGTTCGTATTCCCTGCCTTCTGGTGACCGCTCTAGCCGCTCCCCAGAGCAGCCATCATCGTCCGCCAGCGCGGTGGAGCAGCCGCGAGTCCACTACCTTCGGGATGGGCCCGTAGCCGCCCCTTCCAGCCGCCCTGCCCCGGTGTTTCACGTTGATGAGGAGCCGGAGTCCTCTCGGAGCCATACGCCGCCGCAGCATCACCCCTGGAGATCGATCAACCCTGCGTGGTTAGCCGCCGTGGAGCATCTCGCCTCCTTCTCTTCTCCTTACCTCCCCTTGCCACCTCCTTCGCCACCTAGGCCAAGGTGAGGATGAATCTGTGCTTGAATATCGTGAAATCTGCTTTTCTGAATGCATAGTTTGGGGTTAAACCAAGCATAACTACTTTCTGCTTTAGAACTGAGTCCCAGCTAGGTCATATTAGGTTGTTGATTGCTCTGTGAATCACCTAGATGTGTTTAGGGTATTGAAACTGAAGTTCCAGGAGACTTAAAAGAAACATTTACTTGTGCTTGAAACACTTTGCTTGTTTGATTGCTGTTTGGATCTCTTTGTGATTGTGTGATCGCCTAGAACTTGTAAAAAGGATAGGAACTTAATACGGTATTGTGTGAAATCATAATTGAGACTATGTGTTGTAAAATGTCTGAGATGAGAGTTGAGATCATAAGGCAAATGAGCCGTGGTCGATATACTTGAGTGGAGGACTATTGTTTGGGGTCCGAGATGGATTGTTGAGATTTGCAATGCATGGGTCTGCAATCGATACACTGAAGTTGAGGATAGTCGCTGAGCCACGTGGGCAATATGCGAGGGGGTACTGAGGGACCTGACATCACATGGGGCTGTTCAAAAGGGTTCAGCGTATACTCATGTGGTATGGGAGTAATGGCTATACGTAGCGCTCCCAAGGCATGGCCGACGGGCTAGTCGTGTAGCGACTATAAATTTATGGAAGATGTAACCCAAGTGCCATGGTGTAAGTCATCATTGTGTGGTCCGGGTATTCGCAGTGGCGTTACCTGTGACGCTAGGTTATTGTGTGAAGTCTTTAGGACTTTCTATGGTGCTGTTTTAGGCTTGAACTTAGAGTTTGTTAAGTTGTGGTGCATTGATAGGATAGTGTAGGTTCATTCTCATGGGTAATCTAAATTACTCACCCCTCCAAGTTCCCCTATCTTCTCTCTCTCGATCCCCTCTAGCAGGTTAGGTGAGTCAGGATGCTCAGTATTGCATATGGATGTGGAGTTGTCTGTTAAGCAAGGCGCCTTCGGTTTCTGGGACTTGTAAAGTGGATAATGCGTTTGGCTTATGGCGCAGACGGTTATCTTGACATTGCCGGTTCGGTTTTATTGACCAGGATCGGGTGTCACAAGTTTGGTATCAGAGCTAAGGTTAAGACTCTTCAGCTTTGTTCTGAAGGGTCAGTCCTAAAAAGTTTTAGTGTTTGCGAAACCTTTGTGCACACTTGACTTGCTTTACAACTGTTATGACTCACACCTATGCATACTTGACATCTGACTTTTAGCTTTTTCTTTCCCGTGCCAAACAGGGCTCATACCCGCGAGACAGCCCGGAAACGGACCAATCCGATCCACATGGTTCCTGCTAGACTCGCCCGACCCGCTCGGATGCCCACTCAGGAGGAGGTGAACGCCTGTGCTGCGCTAGCGACTGATGTGCTCGAAGCTGTACAAGCTCGGGGCACATGTCGATCCTCTTCTGGTAGAGTGATGGCCAAACAGGCCCAGCCAACACGTAAGCGCGAACGCCCCCGTAAGAACCCCGCTCCATATGTTAGGCCGGATGTTCAGCCGTCTTACCCCCGGACAACCCAGGGTGGACGTTCTGTGGAGCAGTACAAAAGGGCCTTCTTTCGGGACCTGAATGAGAGTGGCAGAGAAATCTGTTGTACTCTTCATGCTGCAATAGCATTCCGAGAAGGGCTGAGACCGGAAATCCGTGGGAGTGTACCTTATCCTGAGGAAGACGGACTCGTTCGGGGCATCAACCAAGTCACTAACCTGGCTCGATTGGTGGAGCAGGATATCGAGGAGGAACGGATGCAGCATGAAGAGGGTGATTATGAGTCAGACCCATATGAATGCGAGGTCCCCGACAACGACGACTTCGACCCGAGACGTGGCTAGGAGAAGCTGCTTGAAGACTATCAAGATTAGGGCTGCGCTTTTGGGATATTGGAGGGGGAATTCATTTTCATTTTAGAAATTAACTTAGTTTTTAATTTATGCATTAGATTTAAGATCATATTCTATGTTGATTGATTGCTTGATTTAATTTAATAAAAGGTTTTGCTTACTTAGAAATGATTGCTTCCCGAGTCTTCCGTTCTATGAAAATTTCGATTTAGCCTTCTTTGGTATGACTTCCAAGTCTTCCTCATCGCCTTACGCCGGCCATGGAGGTTCATGCCTTAGAATTCGGGACGAATTCTCGTTAAGGGAGGGAGAATTGTAACGACCCGGTTCTCACAAACCAGGCCCGTTTGGAAAATTCAATCCCAACTAAGAAGGTTTAAGCCCATTTCCTATTTCTCGATATTTCTTTTTTCCTTCGAGAGATAATTAATTCCTAGTTTAGATAAATATTATATTTTTAATGTGATATTAATGAACCTTTTCCTAAATGAATTGTGAATATTCTTATTCATAATTATCTTTTCCTTTTTTCGTGGTTATCTTTACTTTTTACCCAAGTCTCCTATTGGGTATAAATAGAGAGCCCTTCTCATTCTTTTTCTTCATTCTAAATTTTCCAGAGAACAGAGAAACCCTAGAACTCTCTTCTCTTTTTTTCCGGCGCCGTAGTACTCTCTCTCCGCCGTCTCTCTCTCCTCTTTCTTTCTCTCTCATCGCCGCATCCTCTCTCTCTTCACCATGTCCCGCCGTTCGTCTTCCCCGCCTTCTGGTGACCGTCCTAGCCGCTCCCCAGAGCAGCCATCATCGTCCGCCGACGCGGTGGAGCAGCCGCGAGTCCACTACCTTCGGGATGGACCGTAGCCGCCCCTTCCAGCCGCCCTGCCCCGGTGTTTCACGTTGATGAGGAGCCGGAGTCCTCCCGGAGCCATACGCCGCTGCAGCATCACCCCCGGAGATCGATCAACCCTGCGTGGTTAGCCGCCGTGGAGCATCTCGCCTCCTTCTCTTCTCCTTACCTCCCCTTGCCACCTCCTTCGCCACCTAGGCCAAGGTGAGGATGAATCTGTGCTTGAATATCGTGAACTCTGCTTTTCTGAATGCATAGTTTGGGGTTAAACCAAGCATAACTACTTTCTGCTTTAGAACTGAGTCCCAGCTAGGTCATATTAGGTTGTTGATTGCTCTGTGAATCACCTAGATGTGTTTAGGGTATTGAAACTGAAGTTGCAGGAGACTTAAAAGAAACATTTACTTGTGCTTGAAACACTTTGCTTGTTTGATTGCTGTTTGGATCTCTTCTGTGATTGTGTGATCGCCTAGAACTTGTAAAAAGGATAGGAACTTAATACGGTATTGCGTGAAATCATAATTGAGACTATGTGTTGTGAAATGTCTGAGATGAGAGTTGAGATCATAAGGCAAAGGAGCCGTGGTCGATATACTTGAGTGGAGGACTATTGTTTGGGGTCCGAGATGGATGGTTGATATTTGCAATGCCTGGGGCTGCAATCGATACACTGAAGTTGAGGATAGTCGCTGAGCCACGTGGGCAATATGCGAGGGGGTACTGAGGGACCTGACATCACATGGGGCTGTTCAAAAGGGTTCAGCGTATACTCATGTGGTATGGGAGTAATGGCTATACGTAGCGCTCTCAAGGCATGGTCGACGGGCTAGTCGTGTAGCGACTATAAATTTACGGAGGATGCAACCCAAGTGCCACAGTGTAAGTCATTATTGTGTAGTCTGGGTATTCGCAGTGGCGTTATCTGTGACGCTAGGTTATTGTGTGAAGTCTTTAGGACTTTCTATAGTGTTGTTTTAGGCTTGAACTTAGCGTTTGTTAAGTTGTGGTGCATTGATAGGATAATGTAGGTTCATTCTCCTGGGTAATCTAAATTACTCACCCCTCCAAGTTTCCCTATCTTCTCTCTCGATCCCCTCTAGCAGGTTAGGTGAGTCAGGATGCTCAGTATTGCATATGGATGTGGAGTTGTTTGTTAAGCAAAGCGCCTTCGATTTCTGGGACTTGTAAAGTGGATAATACGTTTGGTTTATGACGCAGACGGTTATCTTGATATTGCTGGTTCGGTTTTATTGACCGGGATCGGGTGTCACATTTACTATGGGGATATGTCAACCTTTTATTATTTGAAGATATATTTATTATTTAACATTACCGTAAGACATCTTAGACATGATGTGACTATGAAATAGAGATTTGATCCAAAGTTAACCCTTTTTAAAAAAAAATAAAAAATACGTGTTTGTACTGTATTTAGCTATTTATTTACCATAAATAGATGCACTTATTTTGAATAATTTAAGGAAATTCAAATTCACAAATTGTAAAACAAATTACACTAATCAAAATTATCTTTGTAACTTAATAAATCTACACTTTTTTTTTGTCAACTATATCTAAATATTTGTATTTGTATAATCAGTCTTTTCCATAACCGTTTTAAATTAATAGTGCTACTATATTACTGAATCCAGTTGTAATATTGTCTTCTCTTACAGTTTGAGATTAACCATCTCAACAAGGAACATCTAGTGTCGATTAAGGGTTGCTATGATAACACATCTGGTGTGATTCAAGGACTTCAACTCGAAACCAACCTGATGAGTTCTGAAGTTATGGGATACGATGAGAATGGTACCAAGTTTACACTTGAAGCCGGTGGAAACAAAATCATTGGGTTTCATGGATCTGCTGAGACAAACCTAATGTCCCTTGGTGCTTATTTTACAACACTTCCTCCTGTTAAGCTGGAACTTCAAGGTGGTTGTGGAGGCCACTCATGGGACCAAGGTGTTTACACCGGCGTAAGAAAAGTGTAGGTTACATATAGTCCTAGTGGGATATCACATATCATAGTCGACTACGACAAAGCCGGACAAGTGGAAACGCGTCAGAATGGGGATAGGCTTGGAGAAAATAGGGTCCAAGGAGAACAAAAGGAGGTAAAATTTACCATGATCTTTACTTAGTTATGCTAATTCTTACTTAAAAACGATATATGAGTTTTTCAAAATTAGAAGGCTAAAATTTGTGAGATAGATTGAGAATTGTGATAACAAGTCAAGAGGATAGCCTGAGAAAAATCATAGAACATCTGTTAACCTAATCTTGAATATAGCTTCTAAGAAACCTTTGATTTGCTTATTGCAGTTTGTAGTGGACTATCCAAATGAGTATATTACATCAGCTATACTCATTTGGATAGTCCACTACAAACTGCAATAAGCAAATCAAAGGTTTCTTAGAAGCTATATTCAAGATTAGGTTAACAGATGTTCTATGATTTTTCTCAGGCTATCCTCTTGACTTGTTATCACAATTCTCAATCTATCTCACAAATTTTAGCCTTCTAATTTGGTTCGTTCCCTGAACCTCCTCCACCACCTCCCGCGGAGGAATAGGTGGTGAAAGAAGAGCTTCATGGGACGATGGTGTTTTTAACGGTGTGAGAAAGATATACGTGGGACAAGGTGAGAATGGTGTTGCATCCGTGAAGTTTGTGTATGACAAGAACAACCAAGTGGAATTGGGAGAAGATCATGGAAAGATGACTATGCTTGGATATGAGGAGGTGATTATATTACTTCATTGTTATTTCCTTAAACAAACTAGAAACTTGTATATATTATAGTTTATTGATGAATCTCATTCTCTCCATATACCATATATGTTTTATAGTTTGAGTTGGCCTATCCGAGTGAATACATCACGGCAGTGGAGGTTTGTAACGATAAAATATTTGGAAGCGATTCCACAGTAATAACCATCTCCACCTTTTGGACTCGAATCTACCTCAAGCTTCATACTTGAGAAGGAAGGTTACAAAATCATAGGGTTCCATGGAAAAGCTAGTGACCAGCTCTGTCAGTTTGGAGTCAGTGTCGCACCCACCACAAAGTAACGTATTTAATATGTTTCTCATATCGTGTTCAAGACCTCTTTTATCTCCTCCACTTTACAACGTGTGTTCTCTTCTATGTTTTCATTATGGCATCTATTTCAATTGAGCAATCTCATGTAATAATGGATTGACATCGGTATCGTCCAACTAATGAAAGGTGGTAAGTGCTCGAAAGAATATTACGCCGGATCATCTAAAAGAAAATATTCTGGCAAAGAAAGTAACACAAAAGGTAAATCTAGCAAAATTTCTAGTTGCAACAACGAAGATGATTGTGAATTAAAACACCCAAATCCAAATCCATTTAAGCTTCCTCAAGATCGAAACTAGAAGCTGAACACAATGTAATTAAACTTGTACTTCTGCTTCTTCAATATGACGTCGAGGAACAGAGACCAAACCAGGAAAGAAGGTACAATGCAAGGGCCAGGGATCAACCACAAGATCAATTTTGTTTTTACTGATCAACTTATTGTCCCCAACAACATAGATCCAAGCCCGACCAGTTTCATCGCAAGAACACATTACAAGCTTTTTATTGTCAATGAAGTAACTTGGTTGAGAGTTAGATCCGCTACATACCAACTTCGGTAAGTCAGGATCTGAGACTTCCATGAAAATCATCCATTCCACATCTTCAACACGCATATTGTGAATCTTGTTCTTGCTCACCCAAATCTCAATCTTCTTTGTTAGATGGCATTGCTTTAACAACGAAAGCCGATCTCCCATAAAAACCCTAAGAGCAAGGACATCGTGATGACGGTTCCCCCCACATGGTAGATCACAAAATTTGTAGAACAATCCCATCGAAAAATTGAAGTTAACTAGGAAGAACAACGAAGAGTTTGGCTTGTCAGAATAATAACCAACCCGATACCAAGCTCCACCCAACGATACACCATTTGATCTGAGAAAACTAGCACGTATTGTTTTCTGAGTATCACCAGCACCAGGCTCATAGTCCTTCCACGAGTCGGAGGAAAAGTCATGGGTTTTCCAAACTGTGTTGTTAGGATCTAATGCTGTCCCAAAAGATGCAAGGGTCTTGTAACCCCTATCCTTATCATAACCTATGCCATCGAAGTGTACACTAGTTTGGTTAACCTCGGGCTCGATCCATCTAGTCTGTCTTAACCACGGGTTCCAAACCATTGCTCCTTTACCCATGCCACACAGCAAAAACCCATTGCAATCAATCAACGTTTTAGGTATCTGAGATTCTAAACCGGAAAAATCTAACGTCAACTCACGCACATCTATCTTCGGATTGATGCTTACCGAATAAATCTTAGATTTGGTTGTTAAGATGAACCGAAACGTAGCCTTGTGGTTGTTGATGAACGTCTTGTCGTTGAAGAGACCGTTCCATTGTTTAGATACGATTCTGAAGCGGACAAGAGATTTTGGAGGGACACGAGAGAGTATCTCTTCAGTCAAATCCCATGGAAGCTGCGCCTTGTTCGCCATTAGAGTATGTATGTCTTTTACTTTCAGATTGACTACTTTTCTTATAAAGTTTTCCTTATTAGGGTTTCAACGGATTGTTCGATAATTACTCACGCGTGTTTATATATATCGTCATTTTCTCCTCTTTTTATTTAATTCTCTAGATGAATACCCCAGCTATGCGCGGAATTTGATTCACAATATATATTTTCTCTAGTATTCCACTCTTTATTTCACTTTATAGTCATAATAAAATTTAGAGCAAAAAAGAGCTACAGTATACACATGAATAGAACCTTGCCAGAAATGAGGGTTTAGTTAGTTACCCTTTGTTGCATTTTGAGAAGAAAGAACCTCCCATTTTGCAAGTTACACCGACATGTAAGGCATTTAACTTTCGTCGGTAAAAGTCAAAGACTTTAACCTACAATAAGTAGAAAAAAAGAAAGATAGATGTTAGCCATCAAATGCAGGCAATACAAGCAAAAGCTTCAAGTCGCAGATGACCAAAAACATACCATAAGAACTCCCAAGTTATGTTCAGGTGGACTTGGACCATGTTTGAGATACTGTTTCATTAAAAAAATAAAGATCCAATTTAGAGACTATTTTTCCGAAAAGTGAAAGATATTGAAAGTACTGTTGTGTGAAATTGAAAGTAACCAATTTTACCTTGAGAAATGCAATGAGCATTGCTAGAAATGAATATAAGTTTTGAACCAATTTAACCACTGTACTCCGGCAATAAATTATTAGTGTTTAGTAAGATGATTTACTGTAAATAATGAATAATCCAACCACTATCCATAAGGAACTCTGGCAGCGGCAGACTCAGAACAAGATGTGTTAAGAAGTTTTTGTGACTATTTATGTGGTAACTCAACCCGGTAAACCGTACCGCGGCTGTGTCCCACTATATCCTCTAAATCTGTTTCTATACTTAGCTATATTTTTGAACTTTTTCTTCTTTATTTTTCTAAGTCCTTTTTATCAATACACAGCGGAAATATAAAGCAATTCATTTCATTTATTCAACTTTCAAAAACACTTAAACAGGATTCGGGGTTCCACATAAATAAAAGCACAAGGTTCGCTAAAGATTACAACTGATCATCTAGCAACCTAACGATCAAACACCAAAGCCATAAGACTCTAAACACAAGTCTTAACACAAATAAAACCAAGTCCCGATCCATCCATATCCATCACTGCCGCCTGGTCTCGCCCTTTTACTGCTTAGTACCTGCACACTCAAAATGAGAGGCATAAGTATTTCATAAATACTTAGTGAGTACGGTCATCCCGTAACACCTGGTCAGTACCAAAACACGCAGTCATACTTTCGGATTCAACATTCAACACAATCAATTCGCAATAGACATAACAATATCAAACGGCCATGATCATCTAGCCTAACCAACCAAGATCAATCCCTTTTTAAGACTCATGTCTACTTCAGCGAGAATCCCACATTCCCTAAGCTAGTACATGATCCGGATTACCCTGAGGTTAGCTAAACATCATATATGCCATGGTAAACACCACAATATATCACAACACAAGGATTGCTTATCCATTCCAAACACATAACATGAAAATCACACAATCAACATGCAAAACACTCAACCCTAGCAATCCTACGGTCCTAGACCCAACCACAGTCACGCACTCACCTTAGACAAGGCTAGAAACAGATTAGTCAGAAGAAATCCCGATGAAAACCACACCAAAACGAAGATATCCGATCTCCCTAAGAATCTCTCGGCTCACGGTACGATCCGATCCTTATCCCCTCGGCTATCTCTTGATCCGTTCACCTTTCTTCGAGCCAAACTCTGTTTTCCCTCAGAAACCCCACAAAACAAGGCTATTAGCTCGAGGTTATCCGATGAAAACTCAACACTTAGGGAAATATCCAATCGTTTACCAGTTTATCTCGGCGATGGTCGGTTCTGCTCGGCGATAGCCTGATCTCTCTCGGATATCCTCGGGATAAACTGTTTTTCTTAGGGTTTTCTCTCGATTATTCTCTTTCTTTGCTTTATTGCTCTCGAATAAACACAACTCTCTCGAGAAAAGTCTCAAAATCCCTTAAATACTCGCAAAACCCTAGGTAACCCGGACTTATCCGATGTTTTCCCGGTTCCAGTAAGTTTTATCCCGGTCCGATTCGATTCTCTCGGCTATTCCCTGTACCGGCTCCACCATTCCTTCGATAAACCCCAAAATAGCCGACCAAACACTTGGCCCACGGCCCAAATCCCTTCCCACTAGGATAAACCGCCCTTATCCGAGGTGTTTTCCATTTTTCATCCGGATTTTTTTTTTCCTCTCGGACAACTTGTCCCACCTCGGCTAATCCTCTATTTCTCTCGGAGGTTTCCTATTCCCCCTCGGAGACAGTCCACTGACACTCGGACTAACCTCCCAGACTCTCGGATATATCCCACTGCACTCGGATAAATCTCATTTCCCTCGGACTGGACCCTGTTTTCCCTCGGATATGGTCCATCCGGCTCGGCTATCCAGCCCATACCCGACTATTTCCTCGGTCATCACCCGACCATAGTCCGAACCTCCATTTCCCAGCCAGTATCTGACCCTTGGCCCGGTCATCCCTTGGACAATGCCCTGTCCAGTACGATCATTCCATATTTTCTCGGATACAGATGCTACAACTCTCCCCCACCCGTTCTGGATTCGTCCTCGAATCCGACTCATCCGTTTGCAACTTGTCAAACCATTTGGGATACTCAGCTTTCATCCTAGCCTCCTTTTCCCAAGTAACCTGTTCATGTCCGTTGCAGTCCCATACGACCTGAACCATTCTGACCAGCTTCCCACGCTTAGTCTTTTCTTTCCGTCCTATTACTCGAACCGGTCTAGCCACTACTGCAAGGTCCTCTTGCAAGTCTGCTGGCGGCTCCTCTATAACCGTTTCCCGTTCGGTAATGTGCTTTCTCAGCTGTGACACATGGAATACATTATGGAACGCTCCCATTTCCGATGGCAAGTCCAACTTGTAAGCCACTGCGCCAATTCTTTCCAGTATCCGGTACGGCCCCATGTACCTCGGATTCAACTTGGCACTCTTAGCTGCCCTATCCGTTCCCTTATTAGTCAGTGCCTTAAGATAAACCATATCACCCACACTGAACTCCAAATCCCTGCGACGCTTGTCCGCATAACTTTTCTGCCTGTCCATAGCCTCTTTCAGCTTAACCTTTAACAATCTGATCTTTTCTGTAGTAGTCTCGACCACTGCTGGCCCCATTAGCTATGCTCCCCCACTTGTGTCCAACACAATGGTGTCCTACACGGCCTGCCATACAACGCCTCATACGGAGACATCTCTATGCTCCTTTGGTAACTATTGTTGTATGCAAATTCAGCCAACGGTAAGTAGTCTTCCCAACTACCACCCCAGTCCAGTACACACGCTCTCAACATATCCTCCAAT